TATATATATGGTAATTCCAATATTGACCTAAAATGTCTTGTGTTCTCAGTATAGAAGCTCTTTTGATTTACACGTTATTGGTGTACATTTCTAAATTATAATATTTGCTAGCAAAATGCATTGCGTTGTAGTTGACTTATTTCTTTTATTTCTACATAAAATCTTCTAAAGCTCTAGTCTTTATGAGTCCTATAGATATATCTATATCTTTGTTTTTAATATTAGAGATGCTATAGAAAGGAAATGAATCTAAGATGTTAGACAGATTAACAATTGTATCAATAAAATCTTTAAAACTATTTGTTTTAATTGAGGCCAGGTCACACCATGAACCCTCTGTTGTATTCTCTCAAGCTGGTGAGAAAGGCCAGAAACATGATGTCCAGCTGGGATTGTGCTTCATACTGAGCCAAAGTTGTTTGGAGTAAATTGGCAAAAGAATCAGGCATGCAGGACAGGAAAACTCACTATGAGCAACAACAGAGGAGAAGCAGTAGCAAAAAGGGTAAGAGGTGAACTATGTGGTGGCTGCTGCACTCTAAATAAAAGTATAATATACAGTGGTGTGGAAAAAAGTTTTTGCCCTTTTCCTCATTTCCTTTTTTTTTGCATTTCTGTCACATCACTGTTTCAGTCCAATTTAAATATTAGACAAAGCCAAGTAAACTCAAATGCATTTTTTTAAACAGAACTGCTTATTAGGAAGCGAGAAACAAATTCAAACCTACATTGCCCTTTGAAAAAGTGATGACTCCCTAGTTTCAGGTATTAACATGTAATTAATTATTTCTGTGCATAAAAAAATGTGATCTGAATGAGAACTGTATTGTCTTGTGCAGTGGTGAACTGTTCGGACCCTGGCCACGTGGAGAACGGTGTGCGCCAGTCCGGTCTGCGTTACCCAGAAGTTTTCAGCTATGGCGTAACCGTGGCGATCCACTGCAAGAGAGGCTATTACCTTCTGGGCTCTGCGATCCTCACGTGTCAACACAGCGGGCTGTGGGACCGACCAACGCCTCGTTGCTTAGGTATGACCAAAAAAAAAAAAAAAAAAGAAAACTGGTGACTGCTGAATCAGTTGGAAGTTGTAAAAAGCGTTGATCATGTGACCAGATGAGATGGTATGATTTTTTTTGTAGTCTGTGGATAATGTTTTTCACTTTTAAAAGTGAATATAAGTTTCATAAACATTGTGTTTAGACCATGATACATATTCTTAAATTTGTTCATATATCTGTTGTGCTACATGTGAGCTACAACATGAGATCATAAACTGAATATAAAAGTGTAGCCTTTTAACTGTGGGCACAAATAAAGTTGAAATGGTAGCTTTGGGGTAAGTTGCACGCTACGGAGTCTCAGCTTACCAAGGACTCAGTTTTACTACTTCCTTTCCAAATGTTAATGTTTGCTTCCCAAGCCCACTAAAAATATTGAGCTTTTTTTGTTTTACTAAACAGTTGTTTAATTGTAGCAACAACAAAAAGTCATTGTGTCTCATGAATTGTGGATAGCAAACAGAGAGAACTGGATGGGAAAAAAATGACTTTTATTTAGGGTAGGAAGAGGTGAGCGAGGGATAGGGTTGAAAGGGATGGGACAGAGCGTGTGTGAGTATTTTTCTGTGATTTCTTTTCTTTTTTTTGTAACTCATTGAATTCAGACTTTTACAGAAATACAGTATCAGGGATAGTTGGCTTTTTTGGGGGGTTTGTAAATATAAAATATTTTCAAAATCTTGTCTGAATTTTCTTTGGGCAGGTTTAATCACAATTTTCACTGATGTTTGTTTTTTTTTTACTTTGGGAACTAGGATTATTTAGGTAAATGTTTTTTTTTAAAGTTATTTTCATTAATGGCATTTAAAAACATAGCTATAACAGATGTAAAAGTAATTGCAATGTATACACACATGAAGCACTGTGGTGCCTGGTCAGCTTGATTTTGATTGTGTGTGTTAATATAATCTGTGTTTTGTTTGAAATAAACATCGGACAGATCTTCACAAAAGATGTGCCTAATTTCTCCAGTTTTCTGGGCTTGTATGAACTTATTGAAACATTCAGTCCTGGGATGACTGAACCAAAATGATTTTTTTTATAGTTAATATTTTTGCATGTTGTTAAATGATCTGGACATGAAAACATTACAAGTTTTCCTCCTGGTGTTTTTGCTCACATCTTTTAGACTGTATGTGTAAAGCTGTTCTAATCTGTCTCTTTGAATTTATACTACATATAAGGGCGTTCGTATTTACGTTTCAAAATATTCAAGTAATACAGTATTCCTAGATTACGCCTTGCTCTCATATATATTAGAATAGAGGTTCTGCAACGTTGTAACCATTTTTTTGCTGATATTGGTAGAGTCAGCAAATAGCATGTAAAAGTAGTGCATTATGGCAAAGTGTGGCCATTCTGGATACCATAAACATCCACATACAGTATAGCTACAAATGGAAAAGTTGTATTAAGGATACTATTTGCAGTTCAGTCACACTAAGAAGTGGATAGTTTGTACTATGCTTTGCTGATTCAGCAAAACCTTCTTCCAGATGTAGGAAGCAAAAGTAAAGCCTTTGTAAGATGCAAAAAATTTCCCCTAATGGCTTCAATGAATGAGTTCTCAATACAACCTCTTCAAAATACAAATTCTTAATGTAGATTTAGGAAAAGGTTGAAGTCACAAAATGTTCAAAAACATAATGTTCTGTTGGGTAATTGAGGTTGCGTGTATAAAATGCCTCAGTCCTAGTTTTTTAATTAGCTTTTGTTTGTCTTTTTGTTTTGCTTTGAATCCTGTGTTGAATAATTAAGTCCTTTGGTTCACAAAAGTAGAAGTTTTTTTTTTTTTTTCTCATATAGAAATTTCTTACTACACTCAAACACATTTGTGACAGAAACTTAAAAAAAAACAACCTTTCCCCCCCTGAATCTCAAGAGAAATGCCTTTTTGAAAACCAGGACTCTAGTCCTTTCTTCTTCTTCTTCTTCTCGGATGGATCAGTGACACATGTGACTGTAACAAGTCTCTCAAGTGTGATTGTCTGTACAACACCTTAGCCTGAAACTCCCCAACAGTCCATTTGAACTGAAAAGGGTTTCAGAAAGGAGATAAAACAAATAAAGAATCAAAGAAAAAAGCCAAGTTGCCCTGCTGTCAAGCACTTCAGTCATCTGCACTATTGCATTTGAGAAGCACTTACTTCTTTCAGTGGAAGCAATAAGATCATGGTGTATTAGAGCTTTTCACACACTGTTTCTCCACCTTGCTTAGCACTTTAGCTTTTTACTTACATAAATCATGGCATGACACATCAGACCAGTCCTAAAAAAAACCCACAGTGCATAAAATGCATTGTTGCACATTAAAGCCGTGTCATTTATAATTACATCTTTAAAAAGTAAATATGAGAGGAAAATATTAAGGAATTCTTTGAAAACATGTCTTAAAAATACCATCACAGCCAGGTGAATCTTTTTTTTTATATATATATACAAGGAGAGAAATGGCTTGAAGAGCCACCAAGATGACTACAAGGAGCGAATGAGAAACTGAGAGGAAAAAAGAAGGTTCAAGTGAGAAAGGGAAGCAATCATAAAAAGGCAATAGAAGAAAAAGGCTTAAAGGTTTTTGCATAACTGTGTGTATGAGTGTGTATGCGTGTACATAAAAAAAAACTGAGCATGTTTCTCTTAAGGCAATAGATGTTCTTGTTAGGAACCTACTCTGGCTGATACAAACATCAAGATTAAACCAGAGAGGGATAGCAGCAGACTGATTCAAAGATGAAGGGAGAAGCACAAAGAGGTGAGCAGAAGTGCAGGAGAAGATGACGTCAACAGAGAGGTAGAGATGAGGAATCTGGCAGGAACGGGAAAAAGTTGGGGACGTATCTGTGCATCGAGCATCACATTCGAGAAACGAGGTCTTATTGGAAAATTACTGGCCGATTGGAGATCAGCGGGGGCCGAGAAAAAGAGGCGAGGAGAGAAGGGCAAGAAATGTCCTTAGGTTCTTGTGTGTATATCTGTATACTCAAAGATTTCTTAAAAAATTAACAAAAATATATTTAGGAAATATCTGATAATTTAAAACTGTGAGCTCAATTCTACTGGGCTTTACCATTGAGTGGATGGAAAATAGTTTTTATTTAATTTGACAGGACGAGGTGGTTTTTACTTTTTTGAACTATTAATATGAGCTCCTCACTGTGATTCAAACACCAGTGACTTTGCCAGTGATGAGAGGTTTACTATCCATCACATCACAATGTATCCTGTCATCTCAAGGAGGCTTTATGAGCACAAACCTACCTGTGGAGACACACACTGCAGACTTACCTCCTCACTGCACTCTTTCTAGCCGATTTTCGTTTCATATCAGTTTTCAGCTCAAGACAAATGTCTGCCTTTCTGTTGCCGTCTGTATGCTTTCACACATAAACACATACATTATCAACAAACACCTGAGGTAATGCCTCACTTTTTCTTCCTGTCACCCTCTCTCCTTCGCCGTCTGCAGAACCCCAGCTGCACAGCCTAATGCAGTTATGTATCTGGAATCTATAACTGGATTTACTCACAAACTCTAACCCCACCCCTGGTCTGTCTCCTTTCTCTTCCAACGTCTCATCGTTTCTGCAGCTATTTCCTGTGGCGATCCCGGCGTGCCACCTAATGCAGCAGTCTCGGGAACCCACAGTTGGACATACGGTTCTGTTCTGCAGTACTCCTGTTTGCCTGGCGGGGTTCTAGTGGGCAATTCTACTCGCAACTGCCAAGAAGATGGCACGTGGAGCGGAGCGCCGCCCTACTGCACAGGTAGGCAAACTAACGTTTAAGCCTGTAAACAATCACAGCTTAAAATGTACACATTTGCACAACTTAACGTTTGGAAATTGTTCACTGAAATCAGATATACGAGTTAAAATGGTCAACAATAAATGTGCTGTATGTAATTAAAGTATTCTAGGTAGGAATGTAGTTTCTTTTCTTATAGCTGCCAAAACCTACATAGATGGTTAATTAAACGCTACATGTGCTGCACCTTCAATAGTTATTTGCATGTCTGGTGAAAATGTATAAAAACATAAAATGAAGTTGTAGTTTTAATGTAAATAAATAGGAAACAATGCAACATTAAGAATAAAAAAAAATGGCTGCCATACGTATTGACACCCTTTGCAGATGCAAATCGAATGCATGCAACTACAGCTTTTATTTTATTTTATTTTATTTATTTATTTTAAATTAGACCTAACTTTTTTAGGTTGATAAAAAAGTTAGAGTCAGGATCTTTTAATTTAATTATACCTTTCTACAATTTCTTATTTTTTCTTAAATTGAAATATGATGTTATACAAAGATGTATATTTATTCTGGTTTACTTGGGCAAGAGAACATGCCATTCAAGTAAAGTACATACATGTTGTTCTTCATTATCCAGAAAATAGCAACACTAGAAGAAAAGCTACTCAGCTCAACTTTCTATATCTGGAATCGGATAAATATTTTTAAGAAGTAAAACAACTTGAAATGTGATAAATGTGTGGTTGGTGTTGGGCATAAACACGCAGATTTTGCTAAATGTCTAATCATTTTATTTGTTTTGTTTTAGAACTCACAACAGCCGTACAGATTTCGTATGGAGTTTATTTTTTTTACCAGGGTTGCTGTGACCTTAGATCTAAACCAGTCCAAATAGTATTAATGGAGCAGAGTCACGCTGGTTTTCTTTCATTTCAGAAACAGTCGCCTTTCAGGTGCAAGCAGGGGCTGTGGTTAAACCGGCACAGTGGAAATAATAGCAGAACCACATCCAAAGTGGTTTGCATTTCATTTTGAACGGTAGATATTAAAGAAACAGTTAAATTTTTGTTTGCTTCTGCAAAGAGAGAGAGACACTAAGGAGGGATTTGCGGCTTCCAGCCAACTATCAAGAGAGACCCTCTTTTTCCATAATCATGAAAATGTCTGCAGTTATCTTGCTCAGTTGTGTGGTAGTCATCAGTTATTTCTACTTGTACTGAAGTGGGACTTCACTTGTTAGGAAGTGCTTCTAAACTGCAGTGTTGTCATTTTTTTTGACTGAGCTAAAGAGCCGTAAATCCTTCTACTACAGGTTGGCTCGCTTTATCAAAAGCGATGATGATGAAATTAGATTACCTTTACTTCTACACTAATCACTGCTCATTATGGCTAAACATTAGTCTTTCCCCTGCAGATTAATAGCAGTGAGCACTAACTCGAAGCGCATGAGTGTGTCCCAGGAGAAGATTTAGAATTTTCCACAATTTGGGACATAAATTACACACCTGAGGAGACATCATAATTTGAAATCAGTTAATCAGTTTAATAGCTGAAAAACTGCATCAAGCTGTTTATAACCTTGATTATAATTACCTACCCCTTGCTTATCAAAAATAAACCACCCCATGACCACACTGCCCTTTCTTGCACATATTTACTTCCTAACTGTATAAAACGGACTCAAAGTGAAGTCATTATTCAAGATCTTTGCTAAATAACATTATTCCAGTCATTTTGAGGTGACGTGTGGAATCCATCTTAAGAAGGTGGTTTTACGCTGAACATTCACTTTAGCTCAGTTGTTTGAGCTACAGGATACTGTGACTACAACAGCCGTAGTCTCACCTCAAATGTTTGATACCTTGATTTTTTATTTTATTTTTTTTAATATGTAACACAGAATCAAGGCAGTTCTGTAGAGGAAATGGGGTCTTGCAAGGTCTACATAATAGCCTTAAAGTGGTTGCTGAGTGTGTCCGCAAAATGTGACCTTGCACTGAGCAGCTGTCTCTGTGACAGTCTGCTTGTGTCTTATAAAAATTCTCCCCACTTGTGATAAGATTCTCGCTGGTTAGAAAAGACAGCAGCAGGAACTGTGAGAGTCTTCTGTTTCTCCGGGTGACTGTCTCCGGTGCTATTCTTGACTGTGTGCTGCTTGGCTAATATTGCGCATCTGAGAATAAGTCGGTGAAGTTATCCTTGTCTCCTGTGCAGGATGTAAGTGATGCTCTGCGGTAGGCTTCCACAGATCCCCACGTTAACGAAAAATGATCGTTTTGAAACTCATCAGCTATTGTCTCAGTAGTTGAAATGCAATGAGCCTCCTGTGATGGCCTCAAAGCAGAGCACTAAGCAGGGAAGATTTCAACCTGCAGCTAAAAAGTTTATTGAGATTCAAGACTCTGCATTCAGAGGCGCACACTGTTAAATGCACAATTCCTACTGAGTTTGAGCTGCTGGAGTCGTGACGCACTAAACGGATCTTTTAGAAAAGTTTATGATGGCATAAAAACTAACAGTTACAGTTGTTTGCATGTCTGGGTACATATGCATGCATTTGTGTGTCCTTACATCAAACATGGAAGAAAACTGTTTAGGAACTGAACAGGCTAACAAACGTGAACATTTTTGATACATAATGGTTTTAAGCGAAAAACATTTTGAGTTCCTATTGACCATAAGTCACACTGTTTTCATAGTTTGGCTGGTCTTGTGACTCACACTCAGGTGTGACATGTATGTTTTTTTCATCTTCATGAATTTTAATTCATACTACAATCATGAATCAAGAATTACGTATTGGCTTTTGCCTTGGAATGTGTTTCTAGGAGAGGCAGGATTACGTTTCCATGCCCTGGTAGTTGCCAAAAAAAATTAATGAAAATGGCTTTGGAGGCGGGATTTATTTTCGTTACCGCTTCATGCAATGCAACCGCCTCCATCACCCAATATTTACACTGCATGCGTCTCCGCTCCTCTCCACCGGCGAAGTACACAGCGGATACGAGTCGTTCCCAACTTTGATTTAGAGCAGGGACATCGGTGTCAGCAGATGTCGAGCCCATGGTGGTCAGTTTCTGAGCTTGTTGTAAAGCAGGAAACAGAACATGTGTCATCGGATCATATCATTAACATGGACAAGATTCCCCTGACGTTTGATAATCTCTAAAATGCTAGTTATACTCCAGTGAGACTTATAGTCAGGAATATACAGTATTAAGCTTTTTAAAAATTCTAATTGCATCAAACAATATACATCATGTTACTCTTGGTCTTTCCTCACATGAAATGTATTGAGTAGATTTAAAATGTGTAAGTGAACTGATAGTGTTTTGTTGGTTACATCTTATAGTTCCACTGCAAAGGAGTGCTACATTTCTTCACCTAAACATGAACATTGTTATGCTTTCTAAATGTAACTGACCATTTCTCACTTCCCTATAGGAGCTAGTCCTGGATTGTGTGGAGACCCTGGGATCCCTCCACATGGCACCAGACTGGGAGGGGAAGAATTTAAGACCAAGAGCCTTCTGCGTTTTAGCTGCGAGGCCGGGTATAATCTGATTGGCTCAGCTGAGAGGACCTGTCTTCACAACAGCAGCTGGAGCGGTACGCAGCCTGTGTGTCAAGGTAGGAAGTGGAGCACTGACCGTTTGTTTGAATTCTGTTATCTAATAATCTGGTTCTGTAACGATCAGGAAGCCGTCATAAAGCTGCCCTGCGCCTCAAAGATTATACAGCTCACAGAATACCTGCATGTTGCTGGGTTTTATTTCTACTGAAAATCGAAGGAGTGATTCTTCTGTGGAACAAATCAGATATTTATGTGCCTTTGTAAACAATAATCTACATGTGCAAAGCCTTTTTAAATGTGTTTTATCATAAAATCCGGCTGCCTGATTTATGCCAGGCCCTGTGATGTGACAACATAGCATATTGAGAACTGTCTGTCTTGTTGAGACATTTCGATAGCAACCTATTCCTGGCTCATTACCTTTGGGTCCCAACCCAGTTTCTTTAAAACATTACAGCTGAAATGAAATATGCTATAAAATGAGTCTTTCCACATTTTTGCGAAAACCTATAATGCATTTGTGGATGTGGACTTTTCACCATGCACTGGAAAAATATAAATCAGCTGAGGCCCAGGAGTTGATGAGCATAGGCTCTTTTTCTGCACATAAAGCAGCATCAGGCACACAGCTGACAGTAAGAAACTGATCCTTTATCAAACAAACAGGCTTCGTGCTATATACTATACATTTTCTATAATGTGAAGAAGCTTGCTCATTGTTCATTCTTGCAAGCCGTGACAGAGATAGAGTAGTCATGAAATGAAGCCCTGTAGACATGAGTTATGGATGTGTTGAATCTGAGCTTCTCCAATTTTCTCCCCAGTTCAGGATCACATTTTCTCTGCAGATACATATCACTAAATTAGAATAACATTGAAAAGTAAATCTATTTGTGTGATTAAATTCAAAGGGTGAAAATGATATAGATTCATTACACACAGAGTGATGTATTTAAAGGTTTTTATGCAGTTAATTTTGATAATTATGACTTACAGCTAATTGAAATATTACATTTCTAAAAAAGTTTGAATATTAAATGTGAGACTGGTTTGAAATACAGAAGAGATATGTCTATGTACTGCACAGTATGTACAGTCGATACTTGGCCCCCGGCTCCTTTTACATGTATTACCATCTACTTTATAGAGTCAAACATGGAGAACCAACATCTAGTTTTATCAGATCATGAATCCAGACAAACCCCAATTAGGTTATACATTTGTATAAGTCCTCGTTATAAAATTTTGAATGTTCCCCAAAACCTGGCACCCATTAAGTCTCATTGACTTTGGAGTTGTGTGCACTGAAATATTTCTTTGAATGTCTCATAGATTCTCTTTTGGGTTTAGTTCAGGGGAATTTGGTAGCCAGTCAAACACAGCGATACAAGCTGGGTGTTGGGACTCTTGACAGTGTGGGTAGGAGCCACGTCAGAGTGGAAAATAAAGGTTTTGTCTGTAAAGGAAAGGATACAGTGCCTTGGTAAATGACTGCAGTGACTTTGGACTTGATAAAACACAATTGACTAATACCAGCAGATGACAGATGTTAGCTGTGTTTCACATCACAATCCCCAAATCATCACTGACTGTGGAAATTTCGCACTGCACTTCATGCCACTTAGCTTCTGTGCCTTCTCACTCTTTTTCCAAACCACAGGACAAGAGTCTTTCTTCTTCGTTGTCATTTTTCTTCTTTACTTGACCTTATTTGTTTCCAATTGTCCAAGTAACACAAAAGTTAAGACTTTATGTTGTTCAGGAGTGATTTAAGATAAGTAATGCAATGTTGTATATCCCAAACACATCTGTGTGTTGCAGCATGTGAAGCACCGACTCCTGCTGCAGTCGATGTCCTCCGATTCTCTCTTTTGAGTGGGATTTGCTTCACAGACTTTACAAGACTACAAGTGCTCCTTTTTGTCTGCTGTTGATCATGATGCACTTGGAAATATAGCCAAAGAAGCTATTAAACATTTTCCCTAAAAACAATTGTATTTATAAATGTAAAGTCAAAGTAGATTCTACAAAACAGAAGGAAATATAAAAAGAAATGTGATGTGACATGGTGTATTATTCTCGCAAGCTCAAAAACAGAACTGAGTGGAAAAATTCATTAAGTTTGTGAAATTTGATACAATATTGAGATATAAAATCTATTATATCTGTCTCTCTAAAATGAATCTTGTGCGTCACTTTTCTAATAAAGCTCAGTCTTTATAGTAGCAGTTTTTGAAGGCACTCTGTGGGCAGATGGGAATTTACGGGAAATTAAAGAAGGTCTCTGTAGCGCTATAGACTCACTGGAAACCTCACACTGTTCCCCAAAATACTGCAGCTGAATAAAGCACATAATCTCCAGTGTGTCTGAGTGCTGGTGTTAGATTATGGGTTTTTTTTTTTTTGGAAGGGTGAGTCATACAGTGTCAGTGTCCACTTGAGCATTGTTAAAGGTCTGTAAAAAAATAATTACCAGAATGCTAAAAGTCGGCTTTAACAACTTAAAGGAAAAATACTGATATAACTGAGCAAACACAACAATTTGCTCTGATATAAACATCAGTTTAGAAAGTAGTCGCTTTTGTCTTCTGTGTTTATCACAATGCTTGACTTCATAAAGGTCAATATTGTTCACCTGTTGATTAATTGCACTCCAAAAGAGTCTTGTCAACCCTGAAATTATTGCTGCTTTGAAAATCCAAACTTTAATGCAGAAATGTAATGTAATTTTTCTTCATGTCAGAAATCAATATGTTTGGGTTGTACTTTCTTATGGCAAGAAAAAAAGCTATAAGGCACAAACTGTACATGCAACTCTTATTTTTTTTTTTCTGTTTTTGTCAGAAAGTCAGAACTCTCTACTAAATTGATTACACATATTAAAGCCCAACAGAAACATGCACACACCTGGGAGATGCACGTCTGTTTGCCTTTGCCAGGGCCCGTGTTTGCGTAAGGCTAATTATTTACGTCTGTCTACATTTGTTTTTCATTAGGCTAACAGCGGTTAAAAGTTGATTCAGAAAGGGTGAGATTTCCATCAGCGGGACACGAGTAAACAAAAACCCATAGACACAAACGCGTACACATCCTCACACTGCTGCTACGGCACACAGTCTTCACACTCCTAGCTGAAAACAGCAAAAATTTACTCTTGGACCAAGCTTTTAAAAGGGTCCTAACAAATGAATCCAATCAATAGGTGGCTGATTGTTAAGGGCTGTCAACTGTCATGATCTTATTAGTGAAATGCGCTGTGGGTGGTTGCTAATTCCTCCTGGCTCAGTTAATGTGCTTTGCCAGCAAACTAAAGTTCAATGAATCAGTAGTTCAGACCTTTCCTGTCTGCTTTTAGTGCCCTTCCTGACAGTTTTGTAATGCAATCCGTTGACCAGTTGTGATCAAAAATTAAAAAGTCCCTTGCCGTATCCCTCTCTGTCCACAAGTTCTAAATAATGAACCAACTCTACAACCCGGCAGCGTGAGCAACGCTTCCTTTGTTTTTTTTTGTTTTTTTTATTTGTGTATAAATGTTAAAGCTCGTGAATCTTTTGCCCGACAGAGAGTCTGATTTTCTTCAAGCAGACAGAACCAGGCAACACTTGGCCTTGGTGTTTTTTAATGCTTTAAGCAGCAGCCCTTTGGTAGATGATGCTGATTTATTCGAAGCTTCCAGTTAGTCTTAAGTGCACAAATGTAACCCAGCGCATCTGCCACTCAATGTTGGGAATTAGTCCAACGACCTTTATTCATCAATCAGCCTCACTAACTAAAGGATGCATTTTAGGTTATTTCCAGCTGTCTCCAGTGATAATCTCATTATTGCAGCCCAGAGCTGATCAGCACTGATTGACAGGAAGACGCTAACAGCTCGCTTTGCAGTTATTTCCTCCATTAATCAGCGCTGACGGCTATGTTTCTTTTTTTTTTTCTCATCAATCCTCAGCTGTTTCTTGCGGTAACCCTGGCACCCCTGCCCATGGAAGAATTGTGTTCAACGACGGCATCACCTTTGGCAGCTCAGTGGCTTACGCGTGTTGGGAAGGGTTTAAAACATCTGGACTGACCACCAGACACTGCACAACAAATGGCACATGGACTGGTCAGCCCCCAGATTGCACTGGTAGGAAAGCTTTTGCATGATTACTATCTATGCAGTTTGTATTTTGAACACTTAGTGTAGCAGGGTTGCAGTCATAATAGGATAAGAAATTTAGTTTAGACTGGTATCCATCACCACTCCAGGATGCTATATGTAGGTAAGTGAAAGTATGTTGCATCAACATACTTTAATTTGGCTAGCTTAACACAAAACAGACAAACATTTAGGAAACAGGAGTAAAAATGTTAGTTTAAAAAAAAAAAAAAAGCAAGATTCTGCACCAGGAAACTAAAGGATTCTGCATGGTCGGGCCAAATTGCTGAAATTGGTTTTCACTGTCGCAGTTGCGTGACAAAATACATGTCCACCTCATGCCATCTTCCCGTTCTTATTACAGCCCTTCTGAGGAACTTTTTGCCTCACTCTGTATGCAAAACTGTTATGTGATTTGTCTGCATTTTGTTTATTTGAAACAAAATGCAACTACTCAACTTCCAGAGGTCAGTTTCTTAGCCAGAAAGTAGGATGGATAGTCTTGAGGAGCAGTTGTCCAAGGCTAAAAGGAAGTACATACTGTATGTATTTGTTCTCGTCCTCTGAACTTGTAAGTTGTCATGATTGCTGTGTTTACTATACACACATATGTCAAAACAACATGATGCATAATGCAGTGGGAGGTGATTTCACTGGACGTTGGTTCGGTGTGTCTTGTGGACCTTGAAGGTTGTGTGAAAACGATTCGTTTTCGGTCTGACCATGCTGGGCCCTTTAAAGAATGGTGACCAAGAAACCTTTATGTTTCTCTAACCGTGACAGAGAGCTCTGTAAATAAACCTGTATCTCTTTTAAAGAGAATTGAATAAATCAACATGTCTAAAATAAACAAATAAAACCCCTTCCACATTGCTGTAGCTCAGAATATATTATTTTTTCTGGCTTGAGTAAAACTTTATTTCTCTTGTTCTCCTTTTCAGTGATCAGTTGTGGCGACCCTGGGCCCATCGCCAATGGCATCTATTTGGGAAGAGAATTTACCTTCAACCATACTGTGGCCTACCGCTGCAACCCTGGCCACCTGATGGAACCAGCTGGACGCAATGTTCTGAGCTGCACTAAAGATGGAACCTGGAACCAAACCAAGCCCAGTTGCAAAGGTATCAGAAAGCAACATAAGTGGCAGATTTACTATCCGCAGGCAGTTCACCATCTGGTCGTGGTTCAGAAATGGCACCTCTGGGAGTGTCCAGCTTTTTGTACGAGACACCACAAGTGTTCTGATCTGCAAGTGCAAGCACAATTGGCTCATTTCAAGAATGAGTCAAAAGTCTATGAGGGGCAGCATGGATTAGTGCAGTCGCAAACAGGTAGGCCTGTTGATCCCCGCAGTCCAGTCATTTGCACTACATTAGTTAGGCGGCAAAGAGCACAAGACAGGCACAGCAAAAACTTTAGGACCTCAAGGTTTTTTTCATCACACAGCAAGATTGCATGTGTAGTGAGATTAGGATTGAATAACTAAATAAAAGAATGTTTTTGTAAATTAAAAATAAATGATCTCTACGATCACCACTGAGATGACACTGCTGCTTTTAAGTACTTTGTACATCACAAAGAATAAAAATGAAAAATTCCAATAAATGTGTTGCGTAAGTGCAAACTCTTAAACAGATCCTTTGTTGAAGCACTTTTTTGACTTTTTAAACCTGCATTCAAGACTATATATTCTATACTATCCTGATATACATTTTAGTTGTTCTGGTAGGAATTTACTAACATGCTCATTTTTAATTATACAGCTAAAGACATAGTCTATAGAGAAGCTACACAGGATCCAGATTACCTTTTATGCACACTAGTATAAATACGTTTTGGCTCAATGTAGACAGCCGTCCATCATCTAAACCCACTTGTCCTAGCAGTGTTGTGTGTGTGTGTGTCTCGTATTCTCCAAATTATTGGACAAATGAGTAGAGCACCAGGGCAACATTATTTTCTTTCAAAGTACTGGCCAACATCTTACAGACATTACGGTAGAACGTGTAAGGGTTTGATAAAACCACTTGAAATTACGATGTTCTTAATTTTGACTAATTTAACAACACTTATCATGGTGGGTTAATGTTGCCGAGTCAGAGTGTGCGACAGAGACGCCTTCCTCAGAAGACCGGCTGCTCAAATCACATTAAAACGTGGTTTCACAAAGTCTTAGTCTAATTGGATGTTTTTGTTAAATATGTAATATTTGTCAACATTTCTCAAACATTTTAGAGCATTATAAAAACTGAAAAAGTATCTGATAACATTTTTTTTTTTTTGCTCCTTTCAATTCCATCAGTTTATTTGCTACATTAAAGCTCTGCTTGCTTATTGAAAAAAAAATTACACAGTATTTTCTACTAACATGCATTGTGGATCATAAAGAGGAGTGTGGGAAGATAGCATGGCTCTGCTATTGAAGCTAGTATAAAAAAGTGCTGATTTCACAAATAAATATTTAAATGTGAGCTGATTTGCCAAAATAAAAGACTGGGGATGAACAACACTTCTGCCGGAAAATCGGGACACAAGAACATTACCCGTCAAAACAACATTGTGAGTTTTAAAGGCAAAAAAAAAAACCTTCTGTTCTCTAAAACATGCAAAAAAGAAGTTAAAAGAAAGCATACAGTGTTTGAGAGTGGCACAGTAAAACAACCTAGTTTAGACTATTATGCTCAACAACTCTAACAGGGAAATGTTTCCTCCGATCCTCTCTACCACCTCTTCCCATAAACAGAAAATATCCTGCTGGCTTTCTCAGTAGCTGAGGCTTTGAACTAAGATGAAAAAAAAAGAGAGAAAACTGGGAGAGAGGATGCTGAGAAAGAACCAAGCAAAGGAGTTGGAGAGGTAGAACAGAACAGAAAAGAAAAGAAAAAAAAACGATACTGCTGGTGATGGAGGCTGACGAGGAAATTGAAAAGTGGAAATTATAGGTGTTAGGGATGAATAAGAACTGGGGATGGGAATGGGCTTCAAGCTCTCTCCCATTTGTTTGTCCACTTTCTTTTCATCTTCTGTTCCCTTTAGTGCTCACCTTTCTCCTGCTCTTTAGAGTCTTCCTCTCATATCGTGAGTTTTGTTTACTCCTCCCATTTCCATCACCTTTGTGTAGATCCAGTCCCATTTTGATGCAAAACCATTTATTTTTCTTAAATATGTAAACAAATAAATAGAACTCGGGAGAATTCAAGGCTGTAGTTTGACAGATTTTGTAATCAGAGTAATAACAAAGGGTGATAGGTATGGGGTGGAAGGTAAAGAGGCCTAGCAGTGACAAGGGAGGAGGGAGAATCAAAGCGGTAAAGAGGTGCATTTGGAAAAAAATGGGATTAGAACGGAGGGTGGTGCAAACAAAGCCAACAATGGCACACATTGAGCAACAGAGAGATTAAGAGAATAAGCATCGGGATGTCAAGAAAAAGAGATTTAAGAAAGTGAATGGAAATGGAAAAGGGAGGTGTTTTGATGAGGCTTCACAGTGGCGGCAAAGAGGAAGCAAAAGAGAAACAAGTGAGGGAGGAAAGAAGCGATGAGAAAACCGAGAAGCGAATCAATAGCTGCCCCCGAACCTGTAAACACACCGTGAGAAAAGGAATTAGGCTCATAAAATGTGTTGGCTGGCTGAATTGTGCCAAGAGAGAAATGCCTAAAAGGAAAATAAAGGCAGAGGGGAAGTGGTCCGAAAAAGTGTGAGAGGGAAGACGAGGGGTTCCGGGGTGAGGAATGAGAGAGAGCTGGAGCTGGGGACTAAGAGAGGTGAGGGAGGGGGGAGATTTGCAAAGAAAGAAGAGTGGGTGAGTGGAAGGAGTCAACAATACTAATTAGGTAATAAAATGCTGAGATACATGAGGAAGTTTACTCCTCTTCCTCCAGGTTTTGATGTCACCGCAGTCTACACAGAATAGGACGCAAAGAGGAAGTGAAAGAGTTCAAAATCCTTCATTTCCAAGCACAAATGTCCTTTAGGCACTGGAGACTTGTGGAAATACAGGCCTTGAATATTAAGAATGCCGAAGTCAATAAAAGTGTTTTCTTTCATTTTTAGACAGCTGGAGTTTGTTCGATAATAACAAAGTTGTTTATATGAAGGAGAAAACACTCATATGGTGATTAATTTGGATCCCCGTTAGCTTCTGGCCAGCCACCAGCTATTGTTCCTGGAGTCACAAAGCAATAAAATGATGAACTGCATGCTGAACAAAACTGGCAGTGACTTGTGTGCAGGTGTATAGATTATTCCTGTGGATGGTGGGGGCGGACCAGCCAAACGCATTGTAGGAATATGAAATGAGCAATGCTGAATGATGGGACACTTTCTGGATTTTGTCTCGGAGAGCGACTTTGGGGACATCGGAGGCTTCTTCAGGACGCCCGTGACTCTCAAAGACAGAAATGCGTCGCTTCAGATGCTGCAAACAGACGTAGTTGGCTCAAACTCATTACATAAACACTGACATGATAGAAAAAGCCAAATAGCTATTATTTCATACTTATGCATGCTATATTTTCACATACTCCTCTCAGTACTTCATCTAGACCTTTGATGGGTTCATACATCTACATTTTTTAACCTTTTTTTTTTTTTTGGTTTCCAGGCAACCACATCTGCTTGCAACAAGCTAATCAACTTACTAATTTTGGCTTTGAATGTCACAAGCATTCTGGGAAAAAAAACAACAAAAAAAACAGTCGTGTCTGGATCCATGTGTGCACCCTGTATCATCAGAGCAGTGTGAATGAATGGAGCATGACACCATCTGTCTCCTAGTTAGACAGAAATTACACTGACTTTATGAGACGTTTGAAGCCTTGCAGATGGTTATCATTATCTCAGGGAGTTGGTTACATGCACACACAGAGATGTTTATCGTGTCATGAAGTTATCCGCACGCACATCGGTGCACGTGAACTGCTCTGCAAGTGTGTGCACGTCATCTTTAATAACTTTGTCATGCATAAACAGCGCATTGCCTAATGATCAAATGATAACAGATTCCTCCTTTAATGCACAATAATCTTCAGACAGCCGCAGACAATCTGATATCATCGCCGAACACTGGCAGTTTCAAAATTAAGCTTTAAAATAGTCATGGGTTTTTGTGAATCATTACCAGAAATAGCACTGCCGCTCGAAATGTGTATCAGAGGGAAGAATTAGGGGATATCATCTAAATCTTCATTCAAAACACATTTGAAAGAAAACCCAATTTTTTGCTGAATAAAAGTAGACAGATTATGGCCTTATTGAACACTGATGGTTTGGTTTGAGTCATGAAGCCTGACGTCTTCATTTAAAGTAGTAAAAGCTTCTTAGGGTAAAGGGTCATTGCAGTAATGTTTGACACAGTGCACTCACAAATCAAACAAATGGATGTTATGGTGACTTGGTGGTGCTAAGATGCAACATTTCTTGTTGTTTTCTGTCTGCCAGTGAAATTTGCTCACAGTCCCCTTAGCTGTGCATAGTGGCAACACGTACCCTGGTCCTTTAACAGGTTTTTCACAGTTGTAGTGTTTTTAAAACTTTTAATTATTTTCTGACTGTAAATATGGAAAGGTTTTAGTGAAAATGTATTCCCTTATCTGCAATTCCCTACTTAAGAGGATCGACATACATCTCTCTTACAAGAATGAAATGCTCTCTTGTCTTGCCTTTTAAGAGAGGCACTAAATGAAAGCGGTCTCTGTGTTAAATTAAGAGTAAAATACTCTGAATATCCTCCTGGAGCTGCATACACAAAGTTTCATAGGATAAGCAGAGATCCTGACAATTTTGCTGGACTTTGATTTGTGTGTGTTTGCCTCAGTTATCCAGTGTGGACATCCCCCCCAAGTGCTCAATGGAAAGGTCGAAGGGACTGATCATTCCTGGGGATCCAGTGTGAGCTACAGTTGTTTGCAGGGTTACCAGATGTCCATCCCTGCTGTCTTAACCTGCGAGGGAAACGGGACTTGGACTGGAGACATTCCACAGTGTTTGCGTGAGTTCATATTCTCCTTTATATCCGGCAAACTACAGCGTATTCCGTTTGAGCCGAAGCAAAGGATTGCCAGCGATGCTAAAAGTGCAGAGCAGTCGAAGTGTTGACTGTCACTATTTTGTCTTTCAAGCTGTCCTGTGTGGGGATCCTGGTTCTCCTGGAGAAGGTTTCAGAGAGGGGAACATCTTCTCATACGGGTCAGCTGATAAACTTTTGTATTTCTGCATGAGACAAAATGTGTTGTCGTTAAGGATGCAACGACTGCAGTGTTCTGGCCGGTCGCCGATTTTTAACAAGTCTGACCTGCTGATTTTGATTTCGGTCGATGCTGATTTTTTTTTTTTTTTTGCCTGAATTGTTGCTAAATATAGAAAGAAAGTTTGGGATGACTATTGTTAACTGTCATAGTATTTGCTGTGTGGCACAGAAAAATGTCCAGATATCGTCCTGATTTTAAACACTGGGGCTCCTGTCATGTTTATGTGTGATTTGATGTTTATTTTTCTCTTACAGGTCAGAGGTCAGGTTTTACTGCCATTCCCCCTATGTGCTGGTGGGCTCTGCCACCAGACTCTGTCAAGCAGATGGCATTTGGAGTGGACATCAACCAACCTGTATAGGTAACTAAAAGAAAGAAAACATGATTGCTTTCTGATTTAGTAGGATGCATCAGAAGGTGCATTTCTAGACGAATGACTGCTTGATTAAATTTAATTAGGACAGCAACTGGCAGGTTCGAACAAAAAGACGCGTTGGAGAGAAAATTCAACTGTTTGATTTTGGTGTGTTGAAGCAGGGGGTGCATCTTTAACAAGCAGGACACCTGCTCCTACTCAACACCATCTCCTACCCAGCTCACATAATTTAATGGGTTTACTTTATTTCCAGTTTTCTAGATGTTCATTCGTTTATTTTTTTGTTTTGTTATTTTGGCCTGATTGCCTGTATTTTTATGTCCTTGTAGAATAAATGAAAAAAAAAATCTTCATAAAATAATTGTTTTTATTGTTATTTGGATGGCACGGTTGGTAATGTAATCATAGGAGCATAATGAAATACAATGTTTACTTTTTTATGTTTGTGTGTGTAGATCCAGCCTTCAACAGCTGTCGTGATCCAGGAACTCCAGCCTACGGTATTCCGATCATGGCCCAGGGCTTTCAGGGGAACACTTGAAGGGGGTGAAATAAAAAAAAAAAAAAAAAAAAAAGCATATATTTTCACAGCTTTTATGCAGCTGGAATTAGAGATAAGCACACGTATGTAACCTGCTTATTATTATTGGATTGCAGGACGACAGTCAGCATTGTTGACCATGAAAACCAAACCATGATGTGATGGTTTTGCTAAGATCAGTAAAACCAAAACTTAATGCATTAACGGATATAAATTTATTATAAAAGAATTACTGATTGCACTTTAAAAATGAGGTATCGTTATGTTATTAAAGGTAAAGTATAAACAGTAATGGTGTCTTAGTTAATGTCGAGTTGTCAGAACAAAGACATTTTGAATAATGTCAACTTTGTATTAAAAGTGTCATAATTTACCGAATATTTATGACAACAGTCATAAATATTCATGAAGGCTTATTCATGTTCATGACAGGTGTTATGTCATGTTTATGAAAGTGTCATGACAGTCTTATTCAACCCCCTTCAAATAAAGTGTTACCAAGAAATCTGGTAAAAAATAATTACATAACAAATAAATGCAAGGAATTTTAAAACAATAATTGGATGCATAAGGTTAGCTAAGATAAGCTCAAATATGTACTTGCAGCCTCCATAATGTGGATTTAAGTGACCCCACGCACTTACTGGAGACTTGACCACTATTCTTGGTAAATGTGGTAGACGTAGCTTAACTTAAATATTTCACAAACTTTAATTTGTGTTGAGACTTTCCAAAAACTTGATGCTAACCCTATTTTATGGTTTCAAAACTTTTTTATATACATTTAGAATCATTGTCTTGTTGAGACACACAACAATCATCTTTCTTCATTATTCCACCTACTTTGTGTACAGTTACTCTGACAGCCACACACAGCTAACGCATGACGCTGCACTCCTCGTGCTTTACAGCTTACACAGCATATTTATGTGTGAAAGCCTAACCTCGACTCTTCCAAAGAAATATTGTGTTACTGTGGCCAAGAAATGTAATCTTTGTCTATTCTGGTCATAAAACGTTTCCCCAGGAACTATTTTGTTTGTCCGTGTAAGAAAATTTTAGTTGAGCTTGAAAGGTCTTCTTCTTAATTAAAGTATATTTGCAACGTAAAGCGGTGTTTATCTTAGATATTGACCTCGAGTTTTAATTTTTAAAACTAGTTAAGATTTTATAAACATTTCACTACATTTACATAAACACGTAGTTTAAGCCTGAGACAGATGAGCAACAAAAAATACAAACGTCCATGAATTATGTAGGAAAATGTTCTATTCAAAGAAGGAGATAATTGTAGATGATTGTACTAATTAGTAACTGTAAAAAAGATTCTTAAAAAAAAAAAAAAATCATCCAAAGTAATTTCTGTCTAACTCAACTATAGAAATAATCTGATATGCACTTCATTTAATGCTTCTTCAGCTGTAGCTTTCTTTCGTGCAGTTAATGCGTTTTAAAATATTAAAAAGCCACCACGAATCAAAATGTCACCGGCAGTCACTCCGCTCGTGTTGGTGGCGGAGCAGCCGGGTTAACAGATGGCTGTCGGAGAGTTTAACCAAGGCTGTGAAGGCAACTGGGATGAGCTGGGGGTGAAAAGCAGAGGGGCTTCTGGCAATCTGAACGGCGGAGTTGTAGACTAGCAATGCATTCTTAAGAAAGGCGATTGGGTGCTGATTGGTTCTGGAAGTCCGAGTTAAAAGATCAGTGAGCAGTTAACAAACCCAGTTGAGTTTGAGGTGACTTTGACAGCGTGAGAACGGCAAGAACAGCACACACCCGCTACAACGAAGGCGGCAGCGTCCATAATTAAACCAGTAGAAAACTTTGAGATGGCACATAAATAGTACCACTGTGGCGTGGGCTTGAATATTAATAACTCTAATGTAAATCTAAAGGCTAGAACTCAGATAAGTCATTCAAACAGGTAATAGATTATTTTCAGTCGTCTTTCAAGTTTGTGTAGCTGAATTCTGAAGTAGAAAAGAGTTCTGTTTTTGACACCGGAGTTCAAGTTTAAGATTCTCAAATATTGATTGTCGATGCAATTCTTCACCTTCAGTCCCCCAAACAAGATTAAGACACTCCTTTAAGAAAGTCATCGCAGTGAATTGGTATATTAGCAGTCATGTGATGTACATATTCATTGGAGATGAATCAGAAAACCAAAGGGTTTTTTTTCCCCCTCTGCACAGTCATGATTTCTTTTCAAATGTGCCTTAAAAGCTTTTTCTCAGCACCCCCTCAACTTGTTTACCTGCCGAGTGCGTTGTGAATTGAAGGTTATTTTCTGTTGAATGTGGCGTGGTTTTCGAATAGAACAGGCTAACCTGAATAGTCTTTCTGTCATTATATTTCAACGATACGTAGGTGGGCAGTAAGATTTCTTTCAAGTGCCGCAAAAACTACCACATCCTCGGTTCGACAACAAGAACGTGCCTGGAAAACCTAACGTGGAGCGGAACTCAGCCTGAATGCATAGGTAAGGATTAACTCGGGATGTATAACTATTACTTGTTCATGTCTGTTAAGAAATTACCTGTCAGATTTTAGTATGTCACACAGGTTTCTGCTTCTCATCACTCAGCTCATTCATGTCGACAGCCAGAAACCCCCAGCAACGTGGATGTTCGAGCTATGGACCTGCCGACTTTAGGATACACGCTGATATACACGTGTCAAGAAGGTTTTTATCTGTCTGGTGGATCAGAGCACAGAACCTGCAGAAGTGATGGGAGATGGACAGGGAAACCGCCGCTCTGTAAAGGTATTCAGACATTCTCTGCTTTTAAAATGGTTTTATCCTGAGTTTAAAATCAGATCTATAGATAGAGCCCAAGTGATGCACCATTTCTCAACAAGATAATGAAAAGGAATGATGAAATTCAAGACGGTTTTAATTTGTGACTAATATCAAAGCTTGATTTGATAGTAACATTGTGTGTGCCGATTATTTTATCAATCAAATCACAGAAGTTTTATTTGTGTCCTGCCAAATTACATCAAGGTGAAAATATGCTTAATATTTATTTTCATGAAGTCCTCATTTAGCAACACATTTCACTGCAACCAACCTTTTAAAGATCTTCTGGATCTTAATGTGGCCAAAAAAGAAAATTATTTGAACACCAACATTTCTGCACGAAAAATAATTGTTTTGATAAAACATGAAACAAATGAAAATTGTTCATATCACTGTGGTTTCAAGCCACAGTGATTGAGGAAACATTTATAATACAGCACTATAGTATGTAATGGATCTATATAATGTGAGTCTGACTTTGTGAATTGAGTGAACATCAATTATATTTTAAGATATTGAGAGATACACTTACCCACTCTTCTCAGTATTGTTTCCTGTTATAACACAAAATGATTTTCTTTGCTCACAGCAACAAGCAACTTTCTATGTTTCTTCTATTTTTTTTCTTTTCTTTCTCTTTTCATGTAATTTATATAATATTTTGAACGCAATTCAAGCTGAACTGAATTTTAAACTGTCTTTCATTTCAGTTGGAGTGAAAGTAAATCCCAAAGGCAGAGGGGAGTCAGACATACAGAAGAATAAGATCCGTGGTATGCAGAACGGACTACAAACAGCACATTAATATTAATTGAAGAGTTTTTGCTTCATTGCTGATTGTTTTTTCCACTTTTGTTGTTGAATTAATTACATTATTTCTCAGTAAGCATGAGTGTTTCAAAAAAGAATTTTCCATGGAGGAAAAGATGCTGACACTGTAGCCATGAACGTTACTTATATGGGTCACAGATCAGTAGAAGCCGTCTTTACCGAACAGCTCTTCAAAGAGTGTAAGAGTTAAATACATCCGCTCAAATATGATGAAACACATTTTAAATTAAATAAATTATTTCAGAGTCAAATCTGTAGTTTGAAGGAGACAGTAAGAAGAGAAAAACACCACAGGAAAAGATTGAGATTGAGATTCTTGCAAGGAATACAGCAACATCTTTGTTTGGCGTGAGTCATGTCTGAGGCACAGACTGACCCCTCAGTCGTGATGGAAGAAGAGGCTCAAGATATTGTGTTAGGACATTTTAGCAGCTGTCAAAGATTGCTTCCCCTGTTTTGGTAAGCTGCTGTTATTTATCCATGTATTTCTTTCCAAGTTCCAGCAGATGTCTTCTCTCCAAACTCTGAGTGGAGCGGTTTCTACGAGTATTTAGGGAAGAGGCAGACCACCACCTTTGCAGTTACTGGGTTCAACGCTACCAGCAGCCGAGTGAACGTCACATTACTGGAGACCAGCGGCGTGTCGATCAGACTGTCAGGTAAAAGACTATCATTTTGGGTTTTCAGATGATGTTATTTAAGTCTGTGCTTTTAATTTCACTCTTATAATACTTGGTAGGAGGATAGAAACTGTAAAAGACTAATTAGCATTAGCTAGATCGCTATGCTTAGAGTTATAGAACCCTGCAAGTGTTATATCTCATAATATATAAATGAAAATAACGTTACCTTAATTCCAAAAGTACCAAGGAAAATATTCAAAGATAGTCAGTGTGTGGAAAAATTATTTTTATGCAGTGATACCTATTTTATTATCGGTGAGTTAAAATGAGTTAGGCCCCAGAAGCTGAACATGTAAGGACATGTTCAATCTAGTACAATCAACATGTGAGCATTTCCCTGAAGGTGAAGAAAAGTAAGTAAATAAAAATCCTTTATCCTTTAAAAATACTTTATGTTCTTAAACTTTTACAACCTCCTTTATTGTACCAAACATTTACATCTTCACTGGTATTTAGTAATTTATTTGACAATGTGTGAGTAAAAAAAACAAAACAATTGAAAGTATATATTTTTAAAGGTATACAAAGAAACTAAAGTTCAAACACAGAAAAAACAAAAGCAAAGATGAAACTAAACCTCTAACTTAATAATTTTAGGTGCATTGGAATCAAATTTTGATGATTGCAAATGACAATGTAGATGATAAGTAATAACCCAGGAGCTAAAGCTGTTGAAATAAGGTGTATCCCTAAAAAGACTTTTTTTGTTGTTGTTTGTTTTAAAAAAATGTTGTAACCTTCTATGTTGGAAAGTTAAAACAAAGCCCGGCTTTGATGTGACTGTATTTTGGCTTTGAAAGAGTCTTTTCTATGGTTTTCTTTAGTTTTAGTTTTACTCATTTCCTGTTCTGCACTTGAACATTTTCAGATTTTGTAACTATAAATCCTTCAAACTAACTTCATGGGATTAACCAATGTTTTGTCAACATGTAACAAAGAACTTCTTTAAATTTAGAGAAACTGTTTTAGTTGCATCCTCCCACAAAGAGGCTGAAAAGATTTAAATTTTCAGTCGGAAATGGGCAAAGAAAAAAAAAAGCAGATGTGGGCCGCATTTACCTGCTGTGTGAAGGTAGCCTATGTGATGCTATTGATGGTTTTAGCCCTGACAACTCTTTTTTTTTTTTAAAGATTACAAGACAGTCTGAAAGGAAAGCACAAAGAAATCAATGGCTGTTTTATACTTTTTCACAGTGTAGAGTGTCAATGTAGGCCAACAAAGACATGAAAAGTAGCAAGGCAGAATAAATAGGTCAAAAGCAAACAAACTGTAGGAATCTGTTCGATTAATAAATCCCAACCCTTTTCACATTACTATCCAACCTTGGAACAACAAAATTAGCTAAAATTTCACTTATGATGAATGTTAGTACATAAACAGTGTCCTTGGGTTTGAGACTTTTCGCTGAAATGACATGAAAGAGGTTCTAATTCAGTTTGTAGCCAACGAGAACTCGCCGTCTGATAAAATAAATAAATGCATAATGTAACAAGCCCATAAAAGAAATCAAAAGAGAAAATTATCTATTGGGTGTTTATTTGCAAGTCTTTTCTTAGAACTTGCTTGCGTGTCTGCTGTCATATTGACAATCAGCTGCTTTTGTGTTTGCACTGTATTTACACAGAGACATGTTGCTAAAGGCTAAATGTCATGTTTTCCTCCCATATTGTGTTATATGGTTTTTGAAGGAAAGAGAGGATGATCATTTGAAATGTCAAGGTGGCTCCTTTTCTCTGCCTGTCACAAACAAATCTGTTTGCTTACCACCTGCCTGCCTAGCCGTGTTTGTCTCTTCTGGCAAAGTCCTCGACTTTGACAAGTTCCAACACAAATCAGAGGATAATGTGCCATTGATTAATGCAAGATTTAAACACCAGTCAAACTGTTTGCATATGCAGTCTGAATCTCTGCCTCCGTCTTTCTAGGTACTTACAAGTCAGAGGAGAACCAGCTGCTGTTGAAGGTGTACCAAGTGAAGGGGCCGACAGAGTATTACTACAGCAAGTTTAAAAACGACAACTGGGCTATGGATGGATATGTAAGCAAAAGCTTCTTTAATTAAAGGCACCCGCAGGGCTTTAATCAAATATGGCGAAATGACATGTTATGTTTTAAAAGTAAGCACTTGTTTCAAAAAACGAGACCCCTTTGGTAAAGATGGATCCAAATTTTCAGCTTTCAGTTTGTTGCAGGGATTTCGAGATACAGAGAGTGGTTAAAGCAATATGTCATCCATATTGCTGTTCTGTTTGTTGTGACTTTTTGCTTAATAACTCTTACCAAAGCTAATGTTGGACTGCATATCTGGGTGTAAGTGTTTGAGTCTGCCTATTCTGCTTGATGTTGATGCTCCTAATTGCCCCATACTTTGCATTTCCATCACAGGAAGACTTTGCAGGAACAAGGTTGCTGTCTGAGGGCGTTCTTTGACCCCCGTTATTTACACTCCAGGGACCTGGACCAAATAAGAATACCTTGAAAATGGCTCCATTAAGGAGCCATTACTTACTCACCCAGACAGTACTACACTGTAGTATGAATGAAGTTTTCTGATGGGATGTTGCTTCCTCTCTGGAGGAGTATTCACAGTATTTTGATTTGCTCATCTCTTACTTTAAACTCCACTACGACTCACATTTGCTGTAACTCGTAAATTTCACAGCTGAAGTTTTTCGAGTATTTGTTTACAAACAACACCTAAACCCAGTTGCGTATGTCTATTGTTGTGCATTGCAGTAATAAAATCTGCTTACCTTTGTGGGAAATAATGAAATAAAATATGGACTTCTTCTTTTAGCTGTTTTTGGAAGACAGGGAAAACTCGCATCAAAGCATTTTATTGAGGGATTTCTCTGAACATATTAAAACAATCTAATCCCTCAGGATTGTTCAGCATTAACAAATTATTAGTTTAAAACAAACAAGGCACACGTTAGGATGCTGTTTGGCACGTCACTGTGGAAACGCATCCAGCAGACATCATTAAAACATTGTGGATAGTGGAAACATGCCTATGGATTATCAATCCTTCACTCCCTACTCTGTCAAACAATATTGCACAAGAATGTCTTTTCCCAGAGAATCCTTGACCTGAGGAGATGCTGCTCTGCATTTCATTCAGTTGCTGTTCACTTTCTTCCTTTAATAACCTCTCACGCCTTCTCTCCTCGCACTGCAGTGTGTGGTGTGTCTGGATGGTTTGTTCTTAAGGTGAACCTGAACCTAGATGAAGGTATTTTTAGATGCGATATCTGTCGGCATGAGTGATTCTGATTCAGCTTCTCTTACCAGTTAGAAAACGATAACAACATATTGGGTTCTGCTCATGTTCTTGTTCACCTCTTTGCGACTGTGACGTGACCTTAAACGCTCCTGCTATCAGCTGTGATTACTGTGAGCTAGCCAACGTCAAAGTGGGAAAGCGAATCAGTCCAGCATGACTACAGAACCCAACACATGAACCTTAAGGCAATCAGTGTGTTCTAGTTAGGTGATCCTGTGAAGAAAGCGAATTAAATACATTCCAGTTCAATTCAGATCTCCTAGATTGAGATTAATTTCTCCCTGTGTGTTCGGACACATTACCTGGCTCCGTCTCAGAACTGTTCACTACCGTATTACCCATAGTGCCATTTTGGAAAGAAGGTAAAGCTTATCTGGTAATAAAATTGTACCATGAATTGATTGTTTTTCATTTAAATTTACTTCATAGGACACCCACCTACCCATGACAGACTTTAAAAAGGGCTGTGGCTTCAAAATATCTTTAGCTCTCTAAAAACGTCTTTAGAGCTCCTGACAGACAAACGCAACAAGTATTTTCAACCAATTCTGATAATCGTATTAGTTTGATGATACATAAATGGCTTTTACTTGATAGTGTAAGTCTTGGACAACCTCACGACTCTAACGCTATCCTCTGTTTTTTTAAACATGGCAGCTTTAAGGGGCTTCTGCATGGTTATGCCTAACCAAGGAGTGATAGCAAGGTCTTACGTAATCCCATTAAACAATCTGTGGTGCCGTTTACGCATTTCGATCACATATCATTTACGAGTTTGTTTGTACATGATCACAGCGCTTCGTTCTACGGCTTTCAACCGACTTTGTGTTTATTCAATGCATCCATAAGATGGAACTTAACGAGGGAAAAATGGATTAACTTTGGTGCTAGCAATTAGATGCCTGTTTTTAAATAACTGTGTGGCACCTAAAGTTAAGGGCTTTGATCAGCTCATCGTACCATGCACAGTCTTTTTTTAGTTTGCTTGAGTGTTGCAGCTCTAAAAATTAAATTAGGAGCTACGCATGATAGGTTACTAAAAAAATTAAAAATAAGTAAAAAATCCACCATCGGAACAAAAAAGCGTGCGCTTTCATTTTATTCAGACAATGCATTACATTTCTTGATGTAATGTAACTACTGAGTAATGTTGCAGCTCTTTGTAATGACAAAAATGGGGGCGATTCTGAATTCTCACTTTACTGGTTGCTGTAGAGTGAGCAATTGCCTTTCTGTCATAGAGGCCCCAGTTAATGGCTGGATGTACCTTTTTTTTGTCACCATGAGTGGCCCAGGCATGCAGCTGAGACTTCCAGGAACTTAATCTTCTCACCAAGCAATTGTTGCAGCATGTAACGCTCTGCAGGGCTCAGGCGTGGGACTCAGTTCTTATTGAGCTATTGTGACATTTAACTTTTGTGCCTTCATAAATTTCCTGTGGCGTGGATAGATTATATTTTCTGTATTTACACTTTGGATGTTATCAGTCATTTAAATTAACTTTCTATTTAGGGGATGCAAAGGAGAGAAAGTCAGGCAGTCGGTTAAATTTTTTGGGGGGTGATATTTGAAGCTGAGTAAAAATCCTGGATGCTTCAGAGAGAGCAGGAGTGTTTAAGAGAATAGCTAAGTGACATTGAAAGCATTTTATGGATAACAACACTTTTTAATGTGTTCGTTTTCAGTTTTTATTTAAAACAATGGAAAGACAGGACTCATAAGCAGTTTTTGTTATTAAGTTCAAGCAAAAAAAAAAAAAAATGAGCAGCTCAATCTGTAATTCATAATTTATAACATACAAAAAAATAGGTTTCTTCTTTTAGGTCACTTGGGATTAACAACATTTAAATTTGCTACACACTAGAATGAGGGTTAGGGTTGGCCAGAATTTCACATGCATCCTTTGCATTTGGTAAATTTGCTTTTTTGTGACCGAGATTAAACATTCTGGGTTTTTTTCAACAGGCCTCTGACAATAACTGTTGGATTTTCCCTGATTATCTGGCTTACGGAGTAAAACCTTCTTCCTAACTCAGTATCCTTACTATGTCATTATCCGCCCTCATAGGTGCAGCCCTTGTTCCGCTGCAAATAATGACACTTTCCCCTCCAGCTCCGCCAGCATCTTAGAAGATCCTTTGCTTTTGTTCACTGCACACCGCAACGGGATCATCTGGGGAGCACAGAATCCGTCTCTCTCCAGAACAGTATAATGGCTGGACAGACCCATATTGTTTGTGATTCTTTCAACAGATCAACATGGCACCTTCAGGCATCTGGAAATTGTAACTAAGAATAGGTCATAATTTCCCTACATGAAATCTGTCTGATGTTTTTACATGTTTTGATCATGTCACAGAAGAAGGCAGTATGCTTGATTTGTGCCATAGAATGCATCCAAAGCTCAAATATTGTGAATTAATTTATCAGAAGTTTACATCCTCATTACTCAACCTAAAGGTGAAGCATTGTTAGCTTATGTAAATTTCTGAATTTGAAGAAAGCCATAAGAATTTGCCTCATTGCATCTCAAAAGCAAGTCATTTGGTTGGTTATCCTAAATGACCTATAATAGGAAAAGTTTAGTTAGTTTAGAATAAGATGCACAGTGAAAATATGTATATTTGTTCTTTAGTGTGTTTTAATTTCTGCTTCAATTGTAACTGAAGTAAAATTAAAAAAAAAAAAAAAAAAACACAAATATTTCATGCAAATTTGGTCTATAGACTTCATTATTACACTGATGGATTTTAATACTTTTTTGTACAAATATTTTCAAATTAATTTAAACAATATCTAACCTACA